ATCCCTCCCATACTTCCAACACTGAGAGAAGAGTGGGATGACAGCCGGACAGGGCAGACCATTCCCTTCCCAAGGAGCCATGACTCTGGGCCAAAACAGTGGTGCATATGCAGGAGAGGGGCAGCTGCTGCTGGAGCCAAAAGACACAAGTCGCCAACACAAGTTTCGCCACTGCTGTGGCCTTATAAGGGAGCCCACATTTAACCTTCCTGTCTGCAATATGGGCTTACCTTACAGGGGTAGTTTGGTCATCTCTGTTGTAAGGATGACCAAGAGCACTTTGAAATCTATCGAAGTTTTGGAGTGTTCTCAGCATCCATATCTTCCAGGTCTTACCCATACCATCCAAAGCTCCCTGAAGCTCCCCCTCCCATTCACAGCCAAAGCAAACCTTCAGCCTCCCACCAGTCCAAAACAATCCCAGAGTTCTCAGGGGAACAATCCTGGGATTCCAGATGTCTTGACTCATGGGAGCGGTACTGATTTCCCAAAGGCAGATTGCAGGAGCTCCACTTTGGGCCCATGCTCAGAACTGGAGCAGAGAACAGAGATCTATACTACAAGCTCAGACCCACTTTATTCAACTTTATTCCTCCCCAAAGCCATCTGAGCACAGAATTTTAGCGAGAGTATTAAAAAGAACCCTCCATCAAGGATCCCGAGAAACCCCCGCTGCTCCCAAGCTCAGGGAGAGGGGGGAAGTATTTGATCTGGGGTCTGTGGAAGGAATACAGGCAGGCACTGGCTTTTTTGTGGGAAGCTAGTGGGAGTAAGGAGGGAGAAGAGAGTGCTGTGCTCTCTGTTGCAAATAAATGCAAAAAGGGCCCTGCAGTGTTAGGAGAGGAAACAAGCTTTTGCCAGACTCAAGCTTTTTCAAAGCTTTCCAGTTTCTTCAGAATGTCAACAAAAAGATGGGAGAAGGGGCATGTAGGTACTCCGACTTTTTTCAGCAACCACCCCCCCAGCAACAGGCAAAATTGCCCTTTTAAAAAACTCTTCTTTCACCTCAGCTCTCTCACCCTCCTCCATGAACTTTGAGCCAGGATCAAAATAGGTAAAGAGGAAATAAAGACCAGCCCTTTGGCAGTGTTCAACACTGACACCCCAGATCTCAGCAAGATGAGTCCCCTGAAATGGGGGGAGTGCCGATCTTTGGCCCCAGATGTTACTAGATGTTACTAGAACTACTATCAGCCCCAGTTGGCCTGGCCAGTGGTCAGTGATGGTGGCAGCTGTAGTCCAGCAACATCTGAAGGAACACAGGTTGATCACTTCAATGTAAAGGGAACCATTTTTATACAAAGGGAGGTGGGCAACAAACCTGGGGACATTCTGGCACAGGTGTGCTTTCAGCCAGGTTGCCTGCTGGGTCCTGCCCATGCCCAAGCAGGATTTACTGACCAGGAGAGAGGGCTGTTTGCTCTGACTTCCTACTCAGGGAGTGGGATCACTAAGTTCCCAAGGGCTGCTCTGGCCATCCTCCCCATGGACTCCTTGCCATTTAAACCAGGTCAGACCACACAGTCCAGGTCATTTTGTGGATCAGGCAGAACTCCAGTTGTCAACGAGTTACAAAATATCTAGTTAGTCCATCTCCTGCATTTTGACCATTTGCATTCAAATAAGTCAGCCTATTCATAAAACCTTAATAAAGGAGGGTTTTTTGTGATGGACAGAGAAGGATGAGGATTTAGTGACTGAGAACCACCATCACCACTTACTGTAGAACAAAAGGGACCTTTTCCATAGCATGGCACCCACAGAAGCAAGTCATGGTACTCCTTCTTCCCCTATCCCCTAAGGCAAAGTACAGAAATCAGAACTGCAAATCCAATGATTAAATGTTACATTTCCTAGGCCCAGACTAAACAGATCTGATGCATGCTTTTAAAGGCTACCACAGAAGAACCTCCATGTAGCAAGGCTATGGTTTTCCCAGTTGCAATGTATGGCTGTGAAAGCTGGACCATAAGGAAGGCTGAGTGTTGAAGAATTGAGGCCTTTGAATTGTGGTGCTGGCGGAGACTCCTGCAAGTCCCTTGGAATGCAAGGCGATCAAACTGGTCAGTCCTAGAGGAGATCAAGATCCTGACTGCTCTTTAGAAGGCCAGATACTGAAGATGAAACTCAAATACTTTGGCCACCTAATGAGAAGGAAGGACTCTCTAGAGAAGAGCCTAATAGTGGGAACAATTGACGGCAAAAGAAGAAGGGGACAGCAGAGAATGAGGTGGCTAGATGGAGTCACTAAAGCAGTCGGCGTGAGCTTAAGTGGACTCTGGGGGATGCTGGAGGACAGGAAGACCTGGAGGAACATTGTCCATGGGGTCGTGATGGGTCGGACATGACTTTGCGACTAACAACAACTGAAGAACCTCAGTATAAGTTTTCACAGCCACCATGCAAATCTCATTTGGAGAACAGCCTGCATATATAGAAGTTACCTGAGAGTAAGCCCCAGTGGGAGTCAATGGGGCTTACACCAGCAGGAGCATATAAAGGACTGCCTTGCTTGAATATTCAGTGAAGTGAAACTGTCACCAGCATTCACATTCCCAGAAGGACTTTACAGTCCTCACCACTATGGACCATTTCCATGTAGCTTTATCTGAAGAGCAGAACTAAAGAACCCCATTTCTCTGAACCCTGACAAGTGAGCACAGACCCCACCTCCCCTTAATGGTTAAATTTGTAAGGAGAAAGTTGTGCATGATGGAAATGAGGATGTCCTAAGAAAGACATTCTAATCTTCTTGGCTAGCCATTCAACTCCCACCCACAGCAACAGCCAGCCAAGTGATAGAGCCTCAGTCATAATCTGAAGTAAAGAAAACCCAGCCCCCCAGACAACAGTCCCACAACAAAAACTCTTCCTTCTGGAAGGTTAACTGGCAACATCTGTATCCCCAAGTGAGCAACATGCTCCTAATTTGCTCGTTCCCCTGCAACTGCATGCTCCAAGTTTACTTGATGCACAAACAGCTTTGCATGATGGGGGTTGAAGCCAAAGCAGCAGAGAGTCTTGTGGCACCTGAAAAACTCACATATTTTTCATGACATCAGCTTGGGTGGGCTGAGGGCCACCCTATCCAGCCTACAGATCATTAAAGAAAGCTGCAGATTAAGTGCTGGAACTCAGTGTAAAGCATTTCCACCCCCACATGCCCAGCGTCACCCCAGTGACTCAGGCGGAGTGGCTTGTGCCAACTGATTTGCAATGCCAGGCCTCCACCAGCCTGGAAGATCCAAATAGTTCCAAGATTAGTTGGCATGCCCTCTGCTCCTTGGAGGGAGCTCCCCCAGTGTCTTCCTAAAGCCAGCCACTGGGCAGGAGCCCCGTAGAAGCCATGCTCATTAGGAGCAACTCACCCACTGCTCAGCTATGTTATGTGAATCACCCAGGATCAGGAAACTTAAGACGGTGGAGCATGGAAAGCGCCAGGGTGTGGGAGCCGAGGTGTGCACGGCAGCAGCCAGGCCTTCTGGCCCCAGACTCACCCATGTCCCCCTCCTTCCCTGTGATGCTGGAGGTGGCAGCACTGACACCGGGGAGGCCCTTCTCGAGGCATGAGCTCACCTTCCTTCACCTGGCCATTGCCTGGCAACAGGTCTTGTCCTACCTGTGCTGCAGGTACACCAGCTCCTGTGCATCACCATCATCATCATCATCATCGCCAGCCAAGCAACCCAGCCAGCAACCCGCCTCCTCCTCCGTCCTTTCAGGATTATGACTAAGCCTTGATTCACGAGGGCGATTTTTATCAGGCAGCCTCTAAGACCTGTTCGTGCGGCGGCGGCGGCGGCGGCACAGCGAAGGAGGAACCCAGAAGCTGCAGCACCGCGGAGGAGGAGGGGACACTGGACTACCTCCCCCGCCCCCACCGTCTTCCAAGACAGCGAGCGACAGAGACGTGCGGAGAAAAGGGAGGCTGCCGCAGGTTTCGAGCCCTCCCCCGCTTCACCGCAACACATCCTCTTCGTCGCACTCACAGATCCGTACCCGAGCGGGGGGGAACCAGTCACACGCAGGTCGCTGGGCTCGGAAGGGAGACGCGGAGAAGGGTCTGCCCGCCGCCCGCGTTGCGAGCTCGCTACTCGCTGCGGTTTTTTCTAAAGAGTGCGCGAAACAGCCGGGGACGCCTCCACGCCGTCCATTCGCCCCGCGCGCGTTGCCATGGCAACTAGCACCCATCCCGGCTCAGTCAGCGGGTCGCCCTGTCCTTGCTTACCCAGAGGGCAGCGCCGCAGCTCGGCATGTCCCCCGCGACGTCACCACGCATGCGCTGGCCCAGCTCCCGCTCCTGGAACCGCTTCCCGAGTCGTAGCGCGCGCGCGCCGCAGCCGCTTTTTATGTGTGTGGGCGGTGCCTGAACAAGGCCCGTCCCTCGTCTGGGCCCTGCCTCTTTGCGAACGCGAGCGTGCCTTAAAGGGGCCAGCTCCGGGTTAGGAAGGGCACGAGCGGGAGGGGAGCGCGCCTCCCCCCCTCTCGGACCCGTCGCAGCCCGCGTGGGCTCTGCGCCGCGGCCCGAGCACCATTTCCCCCTCGCCGCGCCAGCCTGGAGAGAGCTGCTCCGGCGGGTCGGTCGTCTGAGGCAAATAAGGGGCGAGGCACGGCAGGGTCGCTCCCTTCCCGGCGGTGCGGCCGCGCCCGGCAGCACCGATGCCGCGGGGTAGTTTCGTGCCACGCGTCTGGCGCCCGCTGCGCGCAGCGTTCTTTCAGAGCCTGGTGCTGGGTCAGCGTGTTGCAGATCGGGGGGCTTTGCCCGGTATGTGTAATCTAGAATCTGCCCCACCGTGACGGGTGCTGTGACTAGCACGCCGACAGCGCCTCTGCTCTGGCTTTGCCTGGCGATGCTTTCCCTCTGCTGTGTTTCTGGAAGACACAGAGCGCCTCTCTGGTGTTTGGCTTCTTCCTGGCTCAGGGAGTAAAACTTTCCTTCCAGAGCAAATACATGAGGATACAAAAGCAGCTAGTTGAGGTAATGTGTGCTGAAGTCATACCATGGATATGGAAGAGAATTGCTGCCCAGAACACTGGGGCTCATCCTGCTGAAGTTATCTGGTGTTTTCTGGCTTGTTTCTTCCTTCTGCAGCTTCTGCAAATGGGGCCTTTGCCTGGATTCTGTCTTTGGTCACAAGAGCCATGGTTTTCATTGCATGAGCTGATGATCTCACATTGCTGTTCTATAATGGAGTTTCATCAACATCATCATCATCATCCTCATCATGGCATTTTTCTTAGGGCACGCTTGTCATCCAGGAACCACAGTGCCTTTTAACTACTCTATTTCTGCTTGATTCTTCAGGGGCGGTTTTCAGGTTTTGGCAAATTCTGCTCATACCTCTTCATGCTACTTGTGCTATGAGGCTGCACCTTCCCTGCCTCTCGAAATGCTGTTGGGCTCCCGGAGCATGTTTTGTCCTGAGGCAAAAAGGCAATAGGCCTGGGAATTGCAGCTGTATGCATGTTTTTACTGGGCTTAGGGCTTAGGGGCAGGCTGCTGAGAAAGCTAAAGCATTCTCCAATGGGCTCAACAAACTTTTCTGCTTTGTACCAGCTGCAGCACGGAAACTGTGATGCTGGTGGGATGGGAGAGGCCAGAGGGAGGAGAAGGGTTTTACTTCATCCCTGTGTGGGGGCCTTTGGGCATCACGGATCACGGCAGCAGCTGAGGAGGCGAATTCAGTGGGACTGAGCACAGGACCCACAACTCATGTTTGGGGGAGACATACACCCGCTCTGTACAATCTGAACCATCAGCCACAAAGGTACAAACTTTTAGAAGTACCCAGATTGGGATCTCACAAGACAACAGGCTGAGAGGCGTTTGAAATGCTCATCCCTTCCCCCAACCTGAACAACTTGCTTGTGAGCAAGGGGGAAGTGACCCCAGTTAGTACTGATGGAAGCAGGCAGCCTTTCTGGAGGCCCCAGTGCAAGGCTGGAGATTGGGATGGTCACTCCCACTAGGGCATGGGCTGTCTTGGCCTTGGAGGACCTTCGGCTGAGCACAAAGGAAGCAAACTGCTTTACTTTTGTGGTCACCACGCCTTCCAAGGGAAGGACCTGGGCCCCAGGGATGAGGCATGTCAAAGTGCCCCCCACCCTTCATTCTCGTCTCCTGCTATGATTGCTTACGTCTCCCTCCATACCTTTCAAAATAAGGCGTTCTTGTTGGTCCAGGAAATAGAACCAGGCAGGCTGGCGTTCCAGGCTTTCAGAGAAATCAGGCCTGATGTAGAAGACCACAGTGTTTGGACTGTGCTATATCTGCCCACAGGTGGAGAGCTTGGAATCAGGAAGAGACAACAGCTCCAGGACCTTGAAAAACTGTTCCTCCAGGAACAGAAGTTGATCCAAGGAGCTCTTGTGTGTAACTGAGCCCTTATATATATCCCAGTGGACCTGCCTACCTATCCTGAACCTCCCCCCTCTTGATGAGGAAGGGGGAGTCTTAAAGCAGTATTCTCTGTCCCAAGCCAATATAACAATATTTTATATTGTTATTTTTATATTGTCACTTTTGTAATTTTCTTCATATTGTGAGCCGCCTCGAGGCTTCGGCAAATGGGGCGGCATATAAATGTCTTAATAAACAAACAAACAAATAAATAAGCCGGGCATCCAGTTGCCTTCTCACCCTCTCTTTCTGTTCTAAGTGGTCCTTTGCTGGCATCCACCTGGGCTCAGGAGATCTCTAATGGATCTCATGTTGGGGCCCTGATTTGGGGCCTCTGTGCGTTGTGTCTCTGGACTTCCTCACTCAGCTGGCCCTCTGAGTCAGAGTGCTGGTTGCAGCCAGCAGTCTTGGCCATGATGACATGTTCCTTGTACCTCTGCTAGAGACAGAGCCATTCTTAGGGAAGCCAACTGTAGAGCTGCTCTAGAACCCACTGTTGTTGTCTCAAACCAAATGCCCCACCCATAACCCCTCACAAAGCAGTGATGGCACTTTCTGAATTTCAGAGCCTGAAAATATAACAACACTTCATTGAACAATAAACTCCCACTTCAGGGCTGCTTCTCATGGTCTCAGTGACCATGAAGAGATCTCAGGCATGTTGCTGGTGACAACAGAAACAGAGCGAGTCAGAAGGGGTCTCCTGGGCCATCTAGTCTGACCCCCGGCTCCAGCCAGCTCCGCTTACAACATGCTTACCACGTGCATGTCTAGCCTATCCTTGAACACCCTCACCGATGGGGCCTCAACCACCTCCCATGGAAGCCCATTCCACACCCTTGGGGTCCTAACAGTCAGGAAATACTTCCTGGCATCCAAATTGAACCTTGGTTCCCAGATCTTTGCTCCATTGGAGCACGTCCTGCCTTCCTCTGCAGGGGAGAACAGGTCTCTACCCATCTCCATGTGACATCCCCTCGCATACCTCTATGTCACCAACAGATACGCTTGGAGTCTCCTCCAGGCTGAAGAGACCCAGTTCCCTCAGTCTCGCCTCATACAGCATCTCCTGCAAACCGGCCTCCAACCTTGTGGCACTACGCTGCACTGACTCCAACCTGGCTATATCCTTCCTGTAACGAGGGGCCCAAAACTGAGCACAATACTCCAGTTGCAGGCGCACCAGAGTCATATAGAGTGGCAGTAATACCTCTCTCAATCTAGAAGCCACGCTTCTGGCTCTGCAACCCAGGGTGGCATTCGCCCTCTTGGCCACTGCATCACACTGCTGGCTCATGTTCAGCCTGCAGTCAACCAGCACCCCGGGGTCTCTTTCACAAGTGCCTGGTAAAGGAGCATGGTGTGGGATAATGAACACTGCCAGACCTCCTAACCATCAAGTGAAGAACATGGTGCTGTCATCCTTGGGCTTTTTGGTCCTGATTTGGCAGCTCTCTGTAACCTGTACTGGTCCTGGACCAGGGTGCAAAGGGACCCTGCTAGAGGGCAGAACTTGTATGCCTTCCGCAGCTGTAGAGGGAGTAAAGATACATCTGCTTTCATGGCCAAGAAAGCTGCAGGAACCATTGCTCCATGCCACCTTTCAGCCACTCTCTCTGGAGGGAGGACTGATGGGGAGGGGACACTCAGGTGGTGCTAACAGTGCAAATGGAAGAGGGAGGTGGTGGGGAGACTCACCTCTGCACCTGCTGCGATCCCTACTGCCTCCGGCCAAGGAGCAGGACCTACCAGTGTGGCTCACCTGTGCTTCATCAGCTGTTCACCCCCTTGGCCTGTGGGGCTAGCAGCAAGGAGAGGAGCCAGCAGCAATGGCATGCCAGGAGAAGCATCCTGCCCTGGAAGGACTCGCCTCTTCTTACAGCAACATGAGGGTCCAAAGGGATTCTACCATCAACGCAGGCAGCTCCAAATACCGTGGCAAACAGTTCGTCCCTCAGCTGATCTCCTTGTCCTCACACTCTCTTTGGGCCTGGGCCGTTTTCAAGAGGCCAAGCATGCCAGCTTTGGGCATAATCAAGCTCCTTCATGGTCATGGAACTGACTGAGATAACAGAAACACCTACTTTGCATCTTGAGTTCTTGTTGATCTCTTTCTCTAGGATTTTCTAGACCAAAGTGGGGATCTCTCAGAACTCCCTGCAAGATCAGTGAGGACTTTTTAATACAGCACAAGAGATGCACTGGTGCGAGGAGCCAATCCTGCTGGCAAGAGCAGGGGGCCAGGTTTGCATCCTGGTTTTGGCCCTTTGCTTCCTTAGTAGCTGCTGCTATGAACATTTGTTTCTACCTTCAGGATCATTGCACTTTGGACAAATTCTAGTAGGTTGCTGGGATTCCTGCAAAAAAGACTAGGAAACATAGAATCATTTCCTCCAATACTTCATAGCTGAAAATCAGGACACTCTTGAGCAGGGATACGAGTATTGCTTTTTCCAGGCATCTCCTTCGGACCTTTCATTAAATATTGCTGAAGGCTCTTCCTCGCCCTTTATAAATGGTATTAAAGAGGCCCAATAGAGACCACTTTAGAGTTCAGCTGAACATGGAAAAAATGGTTTCGGCAAGGGGCGGCACAGAAATGTTATAATAATAATAATAATAATAATAATAATAATAATAATAATAATAATAATATCAGTCTCAAAGATCAACTGCTTATAAAAAGGGGTCCTATCAAACTAATACTTTAACTGGGTTCACACAACCTAAGCAGGTTCAAGGCATTCTGGCAGGGGTCATGCAACATGACCAGCTACCATGGCTTCATGCTGAGTGAACCCTGTCCTTGACAGTTGCCATCTACAAATACAGTGGTACCTTGGCTCACAAATGCCTCAGTTCACGACCAAATCAGGTTGCAAACAGAAATTTCATAAAAATTTTGCCGGAGGTCGCGAACTTTGCATCAGGTGACAATCACAAGTGCCTTCCCTGCACAGGCACAATCGTGGTCGTCCTGGGAGGGGCAGAGATGGCTGCGTTCGTGCTGGGGGGGAGATGGCTGTGATTGCGCCCGTGTTCCCTGCCCGAGCGCGCCTGCGCCTGCCTCCGCCTCCCCCCAGCGTGCCCGTGCCTGCGCCTGCTTCCCCCCACGCTCCCATCTTCCCCCCACACACCCACACAATCGCTGGGGGTGGGGGCGAGATGGCCATGATCTTTGTTGTTCTTTGTCACTTTGCTTCAAATTTTTGTAAGAAAAAAGATAGTTGCAGGACAGATTAACCTTATTTACATTGACCCTTATGGGGAAATCTGACTTGGCTCACGACCAATTTGGGTCACGGCCAGAGTCCTGGAATGGATTAAGTTCGTGAGCCAAGGTATCACTGTATGCCCAATTTTGAACTGTTCCAGTACAAAGTGCTACAGTACAGCAAGTTGTAAAGTGCTAAAAATTGATCTGTTTCCCATTTTTACTCCAGTTTTTCAACATAAATGCTTCTTTTATATTTTGGTAAAAACTGCAAATGTCCTTTATTCAGAGTTGTTGAAGAGAGCAATATTTCATTATATTTTATTTGAGTAGAGCAATATTTTATTGGCCAGTCACTTTCTTTCAGCCTCTCTTACATAGCAAGTTTGTTGTTGTGATAAGCAGGGAGGGGATGAGGATCATGCAAGCCAGCTTAAGGACTTTCTTCAGAAAGAATAGGATAAAATGCAACATTAAAAGAACAGCTTAATGTATTGCACTTTTGATTCAGCCTTCTGCTTACTGTTCCTTGCTCACAATTATCACTTGAAGCTGAATATGCTCAACAAAGTTTCCCTCTGTCCTGACAAGGAACTGCCAATCAAGACCAGAGGGAGAACTTTTAAAAGGCTGAGGCAATGGCTAGGTTCACACAGCATGACAAACAACCCCGCACAACTATGGTTTGCAGTTTTTACCATAACCTACTTGACTACTTTAGTTTCTACTTTACCAAGGTTTCAATCCTCTCTGCTCAGTCCTCCCACGGTTGGCATCAGCCACTGTGCCCAAAATTTAATCCCAAGGTGTAGTGGTGCCTGTCTGTGTCACCTGCCTCTTCCTCATTGGTCACAGATAGAGGTTGAATAGTTAGAGCAGCTCCTGCAATGGCCACTCTTTCCAGAGGACTTTGTGGTAGTTGCATACCCGGACTGTGGTGATC